ATATATATATATATATATATATATATATATATATATATATATATATGCATGCATTTTAAACCCTTCCCACAGTCTTGAAATATTTTTAAAAAGTTACTAAACTTTCTAAATGAGCAAAGAATGTCATGATTTCAGCTCCTTGCCTCCTCTGCTCTTTGTCACCTGCAAGTGCTTTTGGCCATGCCCACTTCTCCGCTCTGCACACTGAACAGCTGATCAGCTGCAGCAGGAAGTTTATCCTGCAGTAAGAGCTGCACAAATGTGCTGGAGGAAGCTTTTTCTGCTACTCTGGGATGCACAAATATGCAGCAGGTGCTAAATAATTTAAAATATATATATATATTTTTTAAATCTATGCCATTTGTGCGGCTCATCCATCAATCAGCCAGTTGTGTGTCATGTCAAATCTTACTTTGAAAAAACGTAACAGTTTGAGTCCGCAATAAACAAACCACGAAGTAGGGACTATTGTACCTCCATTAGTTGGTTTCTCAAATAAACTTGAAGTAACGTGCATTTTCTTCCCTCTAGTGTCCATGTTAGAAACAACAGCCTGCAGATAAATGAACATTCTTTCTTCTGTGTTCTAGCTTCTTGGACAGGTTGGAAGCCATCAGGAGGACTGACTACACACCTACTGACCAGGTAATGCTTATCCCATCAGGCTGCAGAATCCAGGATGACTCCAGCTTACACTTCTTCCTTCTGCAGGATTTGTTGCGTTGCCGAGTTTTGACCTCAGGGATTTTTGAAACCCGGTTTCAAGTGGATAAAGTCAACTTCCAGTGAGTTTAAAAGTAATTCTGGTTGTCAGATCTGAACACATGAAAACATGTAAGAGTCTATGAATGGTCTTGAACCAGAACAAAGCAGGGCATGATCAAGTTTTCTTCAGGGATCAGTTATGCAGATAGTGTCTTTCAATATCAGTTAGGTCATCTGGACAGTTTCTTTTTTTGTGTGCTGAAATGTGTTGTTTCAGCACAAAAAATAAATAAATGAGAAAATAAAGAAACTGTCCAGATGACCTGACTGAAAAATGTTGACTTGCATACCTGGATTATTGAGCATGGACTTTTTTTGTCTTTCAGTATGTTTGATGTAGGTGGTCAGAGGGATGAACGCAGGAAGTGGATCCAATGTTTCAATGGTAAGAACACAAAGATAAGTTTAAACAAAACTATAGGAGATCTTTGATTCGTTTTTCTTTTTTGCCTCAGATGTGACAGCCATCATCTTTGTGGCCGCTAGCAGCAGCTACAACATGGTAATCAGAGAGGACAACTCGACTAATAGGCTGCGAGAGTCACTCGACCTCTTTAGATCCATCTGGACTAATAGGTACAAAAACTAATCCCCCTCTGCTCTCTGATTGACTGGAGATACCTCCCTTCTCTGTGTAGGACTGAGGGTTGCAACTTTAAATGTGGGGACAATGACAGGCAAAGGTAGAGAGCTGGCTGACATGATGCTGAGGAGGAAGGTAGATGTTTCATGTGTCCAAGAGACCAAGTGGAAGGGTAGCAAGGCTCGCAGCATTGAATCAGGGTTCAAACAGTTTTACCATGATGTGGATAAAAAGAGAAATGGAGTAGAGGTGGTCCTGAAGGAGAAGTTGGCAAAGAATGTAGTAGAGGTGAAGAGAGTGTCAGATAGGGTGATGTGTCTGAAGGTAGAAGTAGAAGGTCTGATGCTAAATGTTGTCAGTGGTTGTGCTCCACAGGTTGGATGTGATGTGGAGGAGAAAGATATGTTTTGTAAAGATCTGGATGAAGTGATAGAGAGTATTCCCAGGGAGGAGAAAGTGGTGATGGAGCAGACCTGAATGGACATGTTGGTGAAGGAAACAGAGGATGAGGAAGTGATGGGTAGGTTTGGTGTCAAGGAAAGAAACCAGGAAGGACAGATGGTGGTGGATTTCACCAAGAGAATGGAAATGGCTGTAGTCAACACTTATTTCCAAAAGAGGGAGGAGCATAGAGTGACGTATAAGAGTGGAGGAAGGAGTACGCAGGTCGACTACATTCTGTGTAGAAGAGGAAACCTGAGGGAGGTTGGAGATTGTAAGGTTGTGGCAGGGGAGAGCGTGGCCAGACAGTATCGGATGGTTGTGTGTAGAATGACTGTTGTTGTGAAGAAGAGAAAAAGAGTCAAATCAGAGAAGAAGACCAAATGGTGGAAGATGAAGAAGGAAGAATGTTGTGAGAAATTCAGAGAGGAGCTGTTAAAGGCTCTGGGTGGTAAGAAAGAGCTTCCAGATGACTGGGCTACTACAGCAACAGTAATTAGAGAGACTGGTAGGAAGGTACTTGGTGTGTCATCTGGACAGAGAATGGATGAGCAGGAAACCTGGTGGTGGAATAGTGAAGTGCAGGAACTGTTCAAAGAAAGAGGTTAGCCAAGAAGAAATATGACAGTGAGAGGACTGAAGAGAGGAGACAATATAAGGAGATGGGACGTAGAGCAGAGGGAGGTAGCTAAGACAAAGCAGAAGATGTATGATGAGTTGCATGGGAGACTGGACACTAAAGAGGGCGAGAAGGACTTGTACTGATTGACAAGACAGAGGGATCAGGCTGGAAAGGATGTGCAGCAGGTTAGGCTTATGTGAGTGTAATGAGATGATGGAAGGAGTACTTTGAGGAGCTAATGAATGAAGAGAATGAAAAAGAAAAAAGAGTAGAGGTCATAGAAACTGTGAACCAGGAAGTGGGACAGATTAGTAAAGGTGAAGTCCGGAAAGCTCTGAAAAGAATGAAGAAGGGGAAGGCAGTAGGAACTGATGACCAGTGGAGGTTTGGAAATGTCTTGGAGAGATGACAGTGAGGGTTTTGACTCAAATATTCAATG